TAAGTCAAGCCACATTTCCCCTATTGCCAATTATTCTCTACCAACGTTACCCTTACAACAGCCCCTACTTACGCCCTAACTAGAATCACAGGGCAATGCAAGGACCGTCCTCATTAGAGCCGTGCTTTTGTTTCACCATTGTTTCTTGTTACACTTAACCGACGTAGGTTCTTCAGGATATAAAGGGGAAGAGTTAACAAGTCGATATACAAAAGTTTTTAACTGCCATCGCGTTAAACTCACTGTACGTTAGATAATTTCTGTAAAAAAGGGGGAAATTTAAACCGCCGAAATAACCGCATCACAGTAAAAAAGACTGTATCAACAGGAAAGCATTCCACTCTTTACAACGGTAATAAAAGCGATGCGATTGGATAGTTTGAATTTGGTACATCTCACGTGATTTGTCAGTTTTAGCTCAAATAATAAATATTCCATGTGTAAGAAAATAGCCTTAAAATCATCACAATAATGCAACCATACCACTCACTCGTGCTATGGCCGTGGTAGCCTAATTGTTTGACCTACCATCTCACAAGCAGAGGCCGTGAGTTTATATTGGATATAAACGGCTTTTTTGCGACCGACTATTTTCACAAACAAAAAATATTAATCATGGCATTAACAACTAAAAAATAAAATAGATCTTTATAATAATATGTATCTTACACACATATCATAAACCCTTTATGATGTGTTCAAAAACCGCAAATTACGATCAGCATAAAGGTAAACTGTTTTGTTAGAACAAATTTCTTATCTGTGAAAATGTTATTATTGCTTCATAATAGCATCACATTCGATTTTATTATTACATTCATTGACCTACCAATAAATGGACGTCGGGTTCGCGCTAAAAAGTGTCCGCACCTATAAGGCGTTAAAATCGCATACAGAGCGTCAATCGCGCAACAGTCTTCATTTGTTTCGAGCGACAGCGCGGTTGTCAATCATGCAGTACTATACAATAATAACTTGTAAAAATTACCGCAGTAAAGTGTAAAAACAGGATTTTGTATCATATTTTCATTAACAAATATATTGTGTTATCATAGTTCTCATTTAAAAGTGTTATTTTGTACAGTTTTATCGTATTTAATTTATATATAAATGAATCGTAAATATAAATTACAAAAGCACACAAAATAATCAAATAGCTAACTGGCTTTTTTCTACACATTGCATGCGCAAAGATGGAAAGAGACCCATTACGTCAATTTCAAGAAGCCTATATAAACTGTTTGGTCATTTTCAATTGTTCGAACCACAAGCGATTGAAATATTTAGAACAAAGAAACTATAGAGTCGCTTTGATTTAAATCTTATTTAAAAAAATTTTTTTTAATGACGTTTAATTCGAGGTAACGAAATAAAATGTCAAATATATTTTTTTAGGAAGATTACAACAATAAACTAAATCGGTTTTCGGAGTTACGGTTTACGTTTAGTTGGAATATCAGTACATGTCTTATAGTACACGCTTACTTTCACATTTGTAGTAATATTTGTATGTTTGTATCTGACCAACTCTTTATTATTTCTTTAAGTGAATTTGTACAAAATGCGACATAATAATATATATAAAAATTAATTAACATTTACGATAAAGGCTACTCCATTACTCTTGTGTTCAAGTCATTTTCAGTCGAAGCTAAATATGGTGCATTTTGTTAAATTTCCAGTAGAAGCTGAATATGGTGTTTTTGGGTCCTTAAATTGTTGCAAGCAAAATTAGGCAGTACTGCAATGACGTTACAATTTAAAATAAACGTTTTAGTTTTTTATATTTCGTTACATGTCACTACGTTTGTATAGGTTAACTTCGGACATTTTTTTCGTGGTTTTTGTATTAATGGTTACATTCAAATTTCGAACACCTCTGACAAACAAAACAATTTAATTCGACCTCAATTCTAATATCAGCCTAGATTAAATTTTATTCGAAATGAAATGTCAATAGCCAACAATTTTGACAAATCTCACAACTTACTTGATAACGAACGATATGATAATAGTTTGGGCCGACTCTAGTTTGTCAATGAATTAAAAAAAAAACTACGGTAGCGTGACATGCGTGAGAAAAGGTTTTATTTGCCGCCATTTAGTTTGTTTTGTTGTTTATCATATCATAGAGAGCTTATAATATATGTATAGATAAAACAGTGTATGTAACTGTACATAATTAGACATTAAAACACGCGTGTGGTGTTGTGAAACCACACTCGTGTTTTAATGCCTTCCATCACGTGACGGTCACATAAACCACTATTATTTATCAAATAAATGAAATATTACAAAATCGTGTTGATCTGACTTCCTAACTAGTATGATTGATACTGTATCTTGGATTGGAAGTCAGATTCTTCCCAATAACAACAATCAGAAGAGATTTTCTATTGTAGTACAACTTAAACTAAGAATTAAATGTATGATAATAACTTAGAATAATAACGCATAGAATGATAGTTTCATATCAAACGAACTGTCACAAGTGAGGCAAAAATCAAATTCATGTAGGCTAGTTTTTGTAGTAGGTTAATTTTCGGTTTTAGTGAATATTTATATAAAAATACAAGTTACGTAAACGCGTTACTTCCTTGTGGAATGTGATGTTAGTATCTATTTTATGTTTGTCTGACGTATTTTTACACTCATTTACCGTACATTTCGTCATTTTTAGCAAAAATTCTGGAGCTGTTCGCGGTGCAAGTTGACCTTGAGCACTGAAGGCCCGCCCGCTCGTGTAGGCCCTTTGGGAGCGCTTCAATTTGCCTCACTTAGCGTGTGCGGGCTAGGTTTCTATGCGTTATTATTCTAAGGATAATAATAACCAAAAACAAAACTGACTAAATAATTAAACTAACTAAATAAATAATAACTAAATTTTATAAAAATTAGTATCTTTTATATAGTTTTAATAATTGTATGTTTTTGATATTGTTTTTTTTATTCATAATTTTTGTTTTGTTGTGCACTTAAGCACGGGATTTGTAATTATTGTTTCCTGTATTTAGGTCTGCAGGAAGAAATTTCTGTTAGAAATAAGCAGTACATTTTGTTTGTGTATTCCTTGTTACTAAAAGTGTTTCTATTTTTTTCGTCAAATAAAAAATTTTAACAAAAGGGAGAAAGTAAACAACAAGCGTTTTTACTGAACGATTCGTACTATAGACATAATAATATACATATATCCTTGATCCTTGATATGTATACATACCGTGTGATATGATATTACATCGGTCATATTACGTACAGTTAATGGACACTGATTGTACAAGACAATCAACACAATATTGAGCCCCATCACAAAAATTATGACACAAATTGTCACTAAACAAACAAACCATCGAAACAACGACGAATTTATTAAAAACTAATCCCTGTCACACGTCGCCGAGTAACACGTCCCACGCGTGTGACGTCGTGATGTGTAATTGCGTCACGTGCCGCGCCCTCGTAGACTCGATTAATGTTTAAGACTAAATCTTTTAATTATTGAGGTTATTTTTTAAGTTTTAAATAACAAAATAAATAAGAGTTTACATTTTTATGGAATTCATATCCAATTATTTTTATGTGAAATTACTCCACTAGTTTGTTATAATATTAATGTACAGATTGAACACTCAAAAAAAAATCCGACGTCTTCTAGCATACCGAGCAAGACGCTATACCAACTAAGCAACGGAACGAAGCAATGGACCTTACGAATATTTGTATGTGCTTGCATCGTATCTTTGTACTTGGTTTTTCAACGACTTTTTAGCCGTAGCGCCATCTATGAGAAATCTATGATATTTCGTCACCCAGTTTTCACAGCTTTACAGCTATCAGCTCCGGCTAGAGATATCGCTATTCATTTTGTATTTTGTATTTAAAATATTTATTGAATTGATATTAATTTTTTTATGTGAAATTAGTGGAGTAATTATACATAATTATATTATTTATATATAGTTTGTTATAATTATTAATACAAAGATCGAACACTCCAAAAAATCCTTCGATCCGGTCGAAGTCGTTGAAAAACCAAATAAATACAAAGATACGCAAGCACATAGAAAAATTCGTGAGGTCCGCTGGTTCGTTCCGTGGTTGAGTTGGTATAGCGTCTGGCACGGTATGCTAGAAGACGTCGGTTCGCGTTACCGCGATAACTATTTGTAAACCGATTTTGAAGATTCTTTTTTGTTGGGGAGAGGTACCTCCGCAGTGGTTCCAAAGCTTAAATTTGAAGAAAATATTCCTCCTCTAAGGGTGGCAAACTAAGGGATGAATCCGTTTTCGCACACTTTCCGTTAACTGATTTTTGTAAAACTTGGCAAATACAAAGGCATCTAAACCTGGTGGCCGATTATGGGGATGGCTACACGGACCCCATCAATTAACCGATTCGAATAAAAGAATAACCGAAAATTTGTGGACATCATCGAAACGTTCCACACTCTTGCAAAATTATGTTTAATGAAATTCGCTTGGAAGAAGAGTAGTAGAGTTCTTTATGATAGCGCACATCCTTACTTATTTCTACAGCCAAGCAGAAATGTGACCATTACTACGTTCCAGCTTGGAGGGAAGCTTGAAGGGAAGGGTTTTGGTCAAATTATAAGCATATAATGTGTCAGGGTGTCGGGCGTTTTATTATTACCTGTCGTCACATTTTTATCGTGACGTTTTATTTAACGTTTGACGACTGTCGTTCTAGCTCTTCCCATTGTCACGACAGTCTCTCGTCGTAACGTCAAAAAAGTCGTGAACGACAGTTAATCGTGTGTGTGAACAACTTCATTTAAATATACAAGCCATGACACTTTAAACGAGTCGTGCAGACTCTCTGTCGTCACGATATTACGTGAAAGCGCCCTTACGACCAGGTGCACGACTTGTCCGTCCCGTCACTTGATATTATAAAAAAGGAGTATTCCTAGAATGGGCGATAATGTTGAAAATACACAAGTAAAATGTCGTAGACGTTGCTCACTGTTATGTATAATACTTACTGTGTTGCTGCTGGTGCTGCGGGGGCGGCACCGAGGTGTAGGACCTGTCCCTCGGCAGGTGATGGCCCAGCATGCGGTGGCCGGCCGCCTCGAGGTTCGCTATCGTGTGCGAGCGGACCATGCCTGCGATTTACAAGTTTATCAGCTGTTGTTGGTGAAGACAGCTTCGTCGGATTCTTAACTATCGTCTGCTTTTTTGAAGACGGAGTAAAATGACATTTGCCATTTGCATTTATAAAATTTTAAAGAAATTTTTATTGAATTGATATTCAATTCTTTTTTGTGAAATTACTCCACTAGTTTGTTATAATTATTAATACAAAGATTCACTCACTCAGAAAAAATTCCTTCGATCTGGCCGGATTCGAACCGACGTCTTCTTGCATACCGTGGTAGACGCTATGCCAATTAAGCCACGGAACGAACCAGCGAACCTCACGAATTTTTCTATGTGCTTGCGTAGTATATTTGTATTTGGTTTTTCAACGACTTTTTAGCCTTAACGCCATCTATGAGAAATCTATGATATTTCGTCACCCAGTTAGATACCTTTACAGCTACACAGCCCCGGCTAGAAAATGTCTTAGTTGGTATAGCGACTGCCACGGTATGCTAGAAGACGTCGGTTCGCATCCGCCCAGACCGAAGGATTTTTTTTCTGGGTGTTCGATCTTTATATTAATTACAAATTTAAAATAGTCATTTAGCTACAAAAATACTTCACATGTGAAACCATCGTATTTATGCACTGGGTCATCTTTACCTAGAACCGAGTTGATTAGGTTTTTGTTCATGTTCTTTTCATACTTTCGAACGCACAATGAATTTGAGCGGTCCGGGTTTGAGGAATTATTTAAAAAGAAATTTACTCACCGATTTGCGGCTTCCAATTCCTGTTCTCCTGGTGGCTCAAGTCCCCAGGCTTGAGCACCCTCGGCGGCTGCTGCGCGAGCTTGAGCCTCCTCGCGGGGAAGACGAAGTCATCGGGGAACTGCGGATCCACGAAGCGCACGCACACCACGCGGTTGCCCAGCACCGGTCGCAGCCCGATCACGGGCGACGCCAACTGCCTGATGCATCAACGGCTATTCTAACTACATTCTGGTTCATACCCAAGACCTTCGTGTCAGTTTTACAAACAAAGCTTGACAGCTTGCAATTCACTTTTTGTTACGGAACTTTTGCTTAACAGCGCCACCTATGTAACACCAGTTGTACTACTTACCAAGCCTTACTAACGGTCCCACGAAATGTACTTTCAGCGCCATCTAAGTGGTTCCAACAGTACTACCACAAAAGCATTCCACGATCCCTACGCATATATTCGCTTTGAATGTCCAAGATGATGCACGTCGTTTATCAATAGATGGCGCTGGCATGTCCCTTTTTATTGGCCATAGAATTTTTTATAAAATTTTTCAGAATCCGAAATATATTTCATAAAGGTGGGGATTTACTTTAAGACATATTTTTAAAAAAATGAAACCAGTATCCCAGTAAAAAGAAGGAACTTATTTTGGTCGTTAAAATTAATAGAAAGTAAAAGTTGTCATTCGATTTCATAGTGATTAAAATAAACTGTTACTATTAAACGTAAACTCATTGTACGATCCCTAAACCTGCCCGCGTCTTAAGGTACGTTTCTAAACCATGACAATCACGACAAGTATTAATAGCCAAACCAATCTATATTATTCATAGTTAAAACGACGTATATGCCAGCCCTATTGTAATACAGTTCACTTTTTATTTCACGTCTCATTAGGGCCCTAACCGAAATTCATTCCTAATAGTTCGTAGTTCATTGTCTACTCAAACCCGCTCTATACTCATTATGTATAACATACTCTTTTGAAGCATACTAACCCGCCTTGACAGACGCAGTCGGCGCTCAGCATGACGTCACCACGCACGCCTTCAGCCCTGAACGGGTACTTCTGATCGCTGGCGATGAGCTTCTTGATGTCGTGGCCCGCCTGCTCGTACAGGCCGAGCAAGAACTCGAAGCTCTTGTTGCCCGTCGACACGTACAGGCGATCGTGTCCGCGGGTGTTGCGTTGCACTGTCAGAAATAACAATTATCATTGTCCATTTCACATAGAACAGTTACTGTGACCCTTTAGAATAGAATAGAATAGAATAGAATCGTTTATTTCATGTTATCAATGTCACAATATTACAATTGGAAATACAATGTCAAGGGATAACTATGATCGTCAGTAATAAAATTATAATAATAATAATGAATATAAAATAAAGTAGTATAACTACTGCTTGTCGAATAAAATAAAATTAAAATTGTTTCAAAAGAAACTCATCGACACTGTACAATTCAATATCCAATAAAAGGTTTTTTAGTCGGGTACAAACCGTTGCATCGTTTCTAACACTTTTCAGGTCTGTGGGTAGATGTTCGTAGAATCGGGGACCTATTACCCGCGGATTTCTAGTTGCAAGTTCGGTACGGTGGGCAACGGATTTTAGTGTTCCCGCGTTTCGTAACGCTCGGCCTCCGCCTGTACGTCGCTCATAAGTAGCCAAGTTTTGACGCGCATAAACTATTATATCATAAATATATTGTGAGTACATGGTCATTATATTGTATTTCTTAAAAAGGTTTCTGCAGGTCTGACCCTTTTATATGCCTACTATTGTTCTTAGTGCACGTTTTTGAAGAATAAATACCCTAATCGACTCAGTTGAATTGCCCCACAGTGTGATGCCATAAGACATCAACGAATGAAAATACGCATAATACGTCTGCCTCAATACCACATTGGAGACAAGAGGACGCAGTTTCCTCAGTGCGTATGCAGCACTTCCAAGTTTTTGACATAGAGTTTGTATATGTGACTTCCAGTTCAAATTTGAGTCTAGCGTTAAACCCAAGAATTTACAGGTGTTACATAATGGAACAATGGAGGTGATAATTGGCTTTGTTATAGAATTTCTTCCTGAGAACAACATAAGGTTTGATTTCGATTCGTTAAGAATAAGTCCATTTTAAATTTTTAAGTTGCATGCATACTATTTTTAACTAATCTTACAATCACCTTACAAAAAGAAATAGTAAATTTGTTATACTGTACCAAAAACAAACAATATCTGTGGGAGTTGTGATTTTAAGTAAAAATTACAGTATATAAAACTGATGGAAACAGAAATGATAAATATAAAAATAAATTACCCCAACTAGTTGATGCGTAAAACGGAATATTTTTGCATAGAGATTGACATCATAGAATCGATAAATCGAATCAGCTGTGTGTCTTGCTTTAATATGAGTGTATAAACCTTGTACGCGGGTCGATTATGTTTGTTTTGAGTTTTGCATTGATGATTTTATGGTTTTTTGTTTGGTTATTATTGATTTTTATAATTAGTTATGTAGTTTTTTTGGTAACTTAATAAAATAATAATCGAATGCTTCTTATTTCGTTTATTAGTGGTTCTTAAATTATTGTGCCTAAATCAATTCTCTCTTCGTTACAAATTATCTCAATAACATATTTAAATCGATTTTATTTCATTCGATTTTACGTCAATACTTGTCTAGAAACTTTAAAACTCATACGTCACCTTATCCATGATATGTGAAATGGAGTATAGTGATTAAGCCAGGAATATTTTTTTATGATATCTAGTGACTGGATGAGCAAGTCCTACATCTGGTGGTAAGCGACACGCCTGCAGTGCCAATCAAACCTTTAAATCGAAAAGATCCTAGGTGCACTGCCGCTGCACCCTGAGGCATAAATTGACAAGTCCCATATGCCTGTAATTGCACCAGCACCCTTCAAAACCGAAACGCAGTAATGCTTACATTACTACTTGGTGGCAGAAATAGGTAACACTACTTCCCTGGATGAACTCGTTCACATGGAACTCTACAGCTACTAAATCGAGATGTCTAAACACTCACACTCGGCCTGTGTTAACTCCTTGTAATAAGGCTCCAGAGCTTTAAAGAGGCGGTTTTCGTCAACGAAGGGCAACAGCGCCACTCCTTGCCACGCGAACTTCTTTCCGTTCAGGTCGATCTTGAAGTCCGTCGGGTAGAAGTCAATGATTGGTGAAAACTGGTGAAAAAGAAAGCTGTGAAGGCACCGTGTCGGGGAACGTGGTCTTACGGTAATATATGGATAAAGAAAAACTACTCACAGGGTCGCTCATGAGGGTGGCCCAAGGTTTGGGCACGTGCTGCGAGCTGGCTGCCGGGAACACACCCATCAGCTGCTCCAGCGGACGGAACTGCACCAGCATGTAAATTAATATATCGAGTTCTTAGATTTTCGCGATTGTTACACATAGGGAATGAAATTATTTTTCCGGATTTAAATCGCGTAAATAGTTTTATTTCCTATGTAAATCAATAGCCAACATTCTTTATTTCGTCGCCTTAACTTTCTCAAAATCGTATCTTAAAGCATAAAGTTACTGAAAGGCAAAAAATGGATTGTATACACAAATTTTGCAGGCTAATTTCACATCATATTTCCTTCATATTCACACACTGGCTTTTACGGATTCTTAAAGTAATGCATGCAAAATAACTTTATATATACATCGAGCCCTCCTACGTAAAGTATCGTATGCCGAAATTGCCAAGTTTACAGGGGAGCGTTTCAAAGTTCTCCGTTTTATTTGGCAAAACCTCATGACTGACATAGAGTGATCATCTAACCGACATCTAGGATTTTACAAAACTCTATGTGAGTAACGAGCTTTGCCGAATAAAACTGAGAAATGCTAAAGTCACGTATTATGCTCATTGCAATTGAGAGCTTTAAAACGCTTCCCTGTAAACTTGGCAATTTCGACATACGATACTTTACGTAGGAGGGGTCGATATATGCTAAAATTTAAAATAAATAGAAAATTTTGCCTTCTCCTGAATAATCACTCTTTATAAGATACGAGTTCAAGAAAGTAAGGCGTCGATTCACATTCCACTATTTACAAGGTGTTACATATCATTCAGGCACAACAAAGTACAAAGGAAGACCGTCAGAGTAGGCTGTTTTGAAACGTAAATTTTGAGGGAGTCACCGGCGGAATCACGACCTTAATTGTCGACGCAGAACCGGCTTGAGTCGACAAAAACTCGTTTGTAACGAACTGTGTCAAGTTAAAGTCAAGCTTTCAACAATATAACATTTTTATAATAAAAAAACGACCTGAGAAGTACGTGCAATTACATCTATTTGACAAGTTTTATTAAAATCCAAAAAGTTCCGGTAGAAAAGCCAAATGCACCCTGAGGGTCGAGCGCTTGCAGTCCCGCCACAAGGTGACTTTTAATTCGTTTGTAGTGAGAATACCGACCGAACATTTGTCCACATTCCTGAAGGAGTTTTGGCCGAAGGGCCAATATATCGGCGATTCCGCGACCTGACACCAGATTGCGACACACGTCGCCGATAAATGCAGTTCGTGTAGTACATTAGTTATTTAGTTTATTATGTTGTTACATTATATTGTACGTATGTTAGTTCTTAAGTGTCGATACTAACGCATCTCGAAATAACACTTTTCCCCTACTAATACGGTTCCTTTTGCTTGGGTCGAGCAGCAAGGACACTGGCTTTATTTCAGAATTTATTCCTTTCTTACGAATTAAAGCCATTTGAAAAATGTATACCGTTTACTATTACAAATTTAGAAATTGTTAGCTCGAGTACACACAATATGGCCATAAGAGTCTATAACAAAATACCTCTTAGAATAAGAAACATTGAAAATAATTACATGTTCGCAAACGCTCTGAAAAGTTACTTGCTCTGTACTGTGTTGTACTGTTTCTATGACCTAAAAGAGTATTTCGATAATAAAAGTACATGACATTATGTGTACAGTATAGTAAGTTAAGTTTGGCATGAATTTATGTGTACCTATTAGTATTAATATAAGTATAGTGAAGTAAGTTAATTGCAGTGCCCTTACAGGGTTTATGTTGGAATGTAATAATAGCTTTAAGACCTTTTGTAGCATATAAAGCAATAAATGATATGATTATGATTATGACTATACGTGTTCTATCTACTTCAGTTGACATAAAATAAAACGTTGGTACATCTAAAGTATCTATTGAATTAAGCGTCTTTCTTGTAATATTTCGAGGGAAGTGATTTTTTTCCATCGTGAAAATTTTTAGAAATCGTCGTGTTTTCACACTGTATAGTAATCAGTGCATTTCCTCAATTTTACTATATATATTTTTTAAAGTGATAGATTCAACACTTTCACTGTTATGCGTAATCAATCAAAGCCATTTGAGGTTGTAGACTTTTAAGGTATTATATGGGTTATGTGACCAGAATTTAATGACTAAATGAAAAATAAAATATACCGGTTGCGTCCCCTTCTCGAACTTGGTGGACAGGCCTTGAATGTTGACGAAGTCGGAGGCGAAGGGCGCGTAGTGGTAAGGAAAGTACCACTTCCAGCTGGCGCAGCCCTGGTAGTAATAGCGCAGCACCCAGCACAAGCCCCGCACGTATTGCAGCGCCACGCGGTACCTGACACATTCAACGTATAACCTTAGATAATTCTAAAACTGGAAATACCATAGCGGTATGACCATAAGTCACCTGGTGGTTATTCCAATAATGTCACCGTGGCCGAACGGTTACCATCCCAGAGGTCCCGGGTGCGAATCCCGGGCCGGGAGAAATATTTATACGGCCTACGTGAGTTTGGTAACTTTTAATTTGTGGTTATCTATGCGTGTGTGTCTCTCACCGGAACTCCATGTTGTCTGTGGCGACCTCGAACTTGCTCTCGTAGTAGCGCTCCTTGAACCCCTCCTCCCAAAGGCGGACCTCGTCGTTCTTGTCGTCGTCATCGTCTTCGTCATTCTCGAGGCCGGCTTGCGTGGCGGAGCGCTTGCGGCCGCGTTGCGAATCTTCTTCCTGCAATCACATTGTGTACCATCACATTGAGAAGAACTGCCTGGCCTATGGGAAGACAAGCATGATACCAAGCCCTCCTAGGTGGCCGATGTAATAATAACGACTTTTAGGTTCAATTTAAATTAGAGATGAAACGGATAGTCATTTGGCCGGATACCGGATATCTTGCAAGCATCCAAACCGGATAGCCGGATATCTGGCCGCCGGATATCTGTCCCACAGCCGTAAACATGTGGCGACCGGTTTACAGCGCGCATCGCCGTGATTGATTAATTAGTGAATAAACAAGCACTTTCACACTTTCACATTGACGATTTGGTTTGTTGTGGTCACTTGGTTTTTTTAAAACGATTAATTTATTCAATAATACAAACAAACACAAACAGAAAAATGTTTATAGTGAAATCTTTTAATATCAGTGCTGTTTATTTGTTGTGAATGCAAATTTCTCGAGTTGTAGAACAAAAAAAACCAATTACATCGTTCTTTGGCCATATTAAAATTTCTAATTATTGTATACTTACAATTGTATATATACTTATGTATGCCTAGTACTTTATACGCCCGTTATTATTTTGTTTCAAATTGATTTCATTAATTTGTTTGTAATCTAGTACTATATTTACAGATAGCGTTATCTAACTTCATAGTTCTTTCAGTTACAAGTAATAGATTGTCAACGACCCTGTAATTGGTGTTTATCCTATTATTATAAGCTTTAATCAATTAACTTGGCGTACTCATTGTGAATTTTTCTCAGTTTTAAATATCCGGTATCCGGCCGGATAGTAAAAATAGGCTGGATAGTTACCGAATATCCGTTTCATCTCTAATTTAAATTCAAATCATCTTTATTTCATAGGTAATCAAATTACACTCGAAACCATCATATTAATTAACCTCTACCACACATTCGTAAGGAGAGTGAGCAAAAACCCCAGGAGTTGCGCTATGTGGTAATACTCAGTCATATCAGAAATGTAAACAGCACGTTATCTCTTTCACACCTGTATTGATAAATCATACATCTCTTCCAGAGGAAACTTTTTATTTTATAAAACATAAGTGCACATTTGACCTGCAGCTCGCCTGATGGAAATGAGGTTGACGATGCAGCATGCGCACCTAAATAATGCCTATTCACTCTCGCCTTGAAAAGGTCCAAGTTATAGTGTTCGAGGAATAAGTCCGCAGGTAGGGAATTCCACTCTAACCGCTCGTCACTAACTAACCAATCATAAAAGCCGTAATGTGAAACGGAATGGTAAGAGAAATGTAAACTCACCTGAACCGCAGCTTTCATGCCCGCTAACCGAATATCAGCGGCTTCTTGGCGAGCATTCTTTACAGTTCTCACTTCTCCTATTTTCTGTAAAAATGTAAAAAAATTGCAATATTGCTTAACATGACCTTCCTAAAGAAAAATTAGCTAAAGATCTGGTACCAGGACAGCATGAACTTACAGCAGGAGCAAACTGTGTCTGGTCAAGCAGCGCAAAGTTGATCTTCTGTCTCTTCTTGGCTTTGTCTCTCGCCTTGAAATTGAGCTCGTTCTGATGACGCCGCTTGAAGATTTCGTCTTCCACGTGGCCCAGCTCGTCCATTATAACTTGCACGCGATCTAGGTTCACGTCACCGGAGTCCGTTATCCAACCCTGGGGAAATGTTTGCGTTAGGAATGCTATAGGGAATCTACAAGTATTGAACTACAAGTATCGAAATACCCCGAGGGTAAACCTCAGAACATTTAATAGCAAGAAATAGAAAAAGTAGTGTCGTACTTCTACCGGATAATCAAGTACCCCTAGTTAGATACTGCAGGAGGCCAGGTTAATTATTAATCAAGATAATTATTCAAGCCAGGGTACCGAGTATCAGTAAGGTTAATGAGCCTGCCGACAACGCCCTTTGATCTCGACTTTGGGCAGATACGGTAGGAAGTTATTGATCACTAAGAATCAATACTCTGGCTAGATAAATTATCCTGATCCTAATCATTACCCTGGTCCTGTAGACGAATTTTTAATAAAAGTAACATGCCCGGCGACAGCGCCCTCTCTATTTCGAGTTTGAACTGACGCGGTAGGAAGTTATTGGTCAATAAAAGTTAGTACCCCGGGCTAGGGGAATTACCGTGGTGAAAATCATTACCCTGGTCTTGTAGACATAAAGGGTGACGTGGCTGACTACAGCTGGCTGATTTCGAATGTAGGCAGATGCAGCAGGAAGTTATCGGTCACTAAGAATGTCAGTACCCTGTCTGGAGTGCCCAGAAACCAATCAATATCCTGCAGCTTGATTTTGATTGCCTCTCCCGAGTCGAGGCGCTTAATTGCGATTCACAACTGGCCGATTGGAAACTTTTGACATTTCTAATCGGAACAATAGCTGATTTAGCTCACAAACTAGAAAGATATAGTAGGAAACAGGTTCGTCGTCAATCGTCGTGTGTTTTCGAGACTACCCGATTGGATCAATTCCGATTTGAATAACAATCTGGACGCTAGTCTTAATAATAATAATAATATAATAATAATAATAACGCTCACAATCAACATAGCCCCGCACTAGGGAAACCCTGTGTCGTGGGTGCCATGGACACACACATTGACAACCACAAATTACACCCAAACTCACGAGAGAAATAAATGTAGGCCATACAAATATTTCTCCCGGCCCGGGAATCGAACCTGGGACCTCTGCGTGGCAGTCCGGCATGGTAACCGTTACGGAGGCAGTTAGCTAGTCTTGTCGAAGCATTTCTTTTTAAGGGTGATGAACTTGTCGACAGCGCCCTCTCTGATCTCGAGTTTGGACTAATGCGGTAAGAAGTTGTTGACCACAAAGAGTATTCTGGATAGAGGAATTGCCCAGAGACAAAACATTACCCTGGTCTTGTAGACGCATTTCTTATAAAGGTTGACGAGCCTGTCGACAGCGCCCTCTCTGATCTCGAGGCTGGGCAGATGCGGTAGAAAATCGTTCCCAACGAAGAAGCACATGAACACCCAGTCGTCCAACGCTCGCTCGAAATCGTACGGGAATGGGAGGTTTGGCATCTGAAAAACAAATAAATACTGCTTTAGAGTTCGTATAGAAAAAACACAAAACAACAAATACAGTAGAGTGGTTAGTTAGCGCCTGACGCGTGTCAACTATAGGTCTCGAAAGACCTACTTGAGCTCAGTCCGCCATTTTCGTTTTGTATGGTACACAGACCACATAAATGTATGGTATGATTGTGTCATTCTTTCGCACAAATTCTCTAAAATCGCAGAGAAATGCCTTATTGAATAGAATAGAATACATTTATTACATAACACCACAACACAATAATAAACAGTAAAAAAAAAAATAAAAAAAAAACAGAACTAAATTAAAACTAAAACAAACAGAAAATGAATAACAAAAAAGAAAACTAAATAAAATTAATTAAAAATAAAATCTTAGCAATAAATAATTATGCGACCACAAAGCTGGTCAACACTATTGTTGTACTAAGTAGATGTCATGTGTGCGGCTGTGGCGTATGTAATAGGATCCACTCAGCTAATGTCACCGCCGGGGCAAGGCTGTGACGCTGATTTTCAGTGGACCCTATTGTGCTGTTTTGGACTGCAAAATTGATAGCCGCACCAAAATATTAGCCGTAGCAGTATTTCATATCATCGGTATGTCTTATTTTATTAAATTTTCAATTTTCTGTTAATCAAATTGATTCAAATGTTAATCGTTCGTCGTAGTTCAGCTAGCGGCCGCAAGATGGCAGCACGTAAAGTAAAATTTCAATATAAAATCAAAACGTCGTAACTTGCAATAAAGGCATTGAACTTTCAAAGATATAGTGACTGGGTAAAGTTTAAATTATATTACCACTAAAATTATAAACCAAAATTGGTTACATCTTTTTAAATTAGAAAATATGACCAATCATTATCAAGATTTCGTAGTGTTTATCATTTGTTTGTGTGCGTTTTAGCGACAGTGGTTCCGATAGTAAGCGAGGCTTAAGGGACCTCCATGGATTTTTCTTCCGTGAAAAAAAAATACAAAAATCATTCGTGTGAAGCAAACGGAAAGTAGATTATTATTACTAGCTACTGGTGTCCTTACCACGGTATTACTTCTTATTGTTTTCCCGATATTTCAAGTTATGGTCAACCCATAGATCATACATAGACTGGGGGGTCAACCCGTGACAATATATCAGTTCCAAAATAACAAACAAAGAAAAAGAAGTCATACCACAACATGACTTATTTTTATACACTGGCAACTAGATTTTATATGAGTTACTGGTTTCTTACCACGGTAAAATTTACTAGTGTTTATGTTTAATCGCGTTTATTCCCGGTTTTAACGTTTGCGTTTAAAACCGGAAATAAACACTATTAAACAATTTAACAGGAATTTTCACACCTACCCGTTATCCCTTTGTATTTTTAACTGAAATTCTGTAAATTTAATGGGTCGTATGTTTTCTTTCGACTCAAAATATACGCATTTATTCTTTTTCGCGCATGTTACATGTGGGTTGGTGTTTATTTGGAATACTTTAGTAATAAAATGTAGTACCTGTAGTTCCTTCTCGAGGTACTCTCGGAGAACGCTGAGGCGCACGAAGATAAAGTTGTCCTGGTTGCCGAAGGCAGGGTCTGATCGGACCAGTGACGCGTCCGGGGTCGTGCCAGTGCACTCCTTCATTTCATGGCCTGTCCAAAATTTAATAACCTCAAACTTAACAGAAATTAGGGAAGCAACTATTTTTCATGCGTATGTGTGATAAGGGAATGAAGACGCTTTTCTGGTTAACCAGAATGATCATTATTGTTGCCGTTATTTTAACAGTAAAATGATTTCTGTGTAATTTTATAAACAAAAGATAAAAATATGGTGTAATATATAGTAAATACAGTAATGTTTGTAATTAGAATTGTAATTAGTTAAGTTATACCTCTTTAATTTATTAACTTAATACATTTAAGCAAGATGTTTGTTATGATGTTTGTTAGTGAGCGACGTTATTCAATTTGGCACCATTTAAAGATTCCTCGTTTTTACTAACCTAGCTGTCCACAAACGTCACAAGGGCGAGGTTTGTTGGGCTTGAACTCCTCTCGTATGATGGTGAAGTTGGGCTCGTGAGTGGCCAGCCCCAGCATGATCAGGTCGGCGTCCGCGCCGCAGAGGACGTGCTGTGTGTTCGGATCGTGGTCCGGTTGAGCTGGATATGACCATTGTCATTAATAAGTAGTAGTAGAGCTTCTTGTGAAAGGAAGTACGTACGTAGAAGGAAGTACTGCTACCTTACCTATTTTTGACGCCAAGCAGTAATGTTAGCATTACTGCATTCCGGCTTAGAAGGGTAAGGGTGCTGGTGAAATTACAGGCACATGGGACTTGTCAACTGTTGTCTTAAGGTGACGGGCGCAGTGGCAGTGCCCCTCAGATCTTTGCAATTTAAAGCTCTGAGTGGCACTGTAACTGTTATGGCTAGGCGTGACGCTTACAATCAGGCGCACGACTTGTTCGTCCCCTTACTAAAACTTAGATTCATTACGACACATGAATGAAGTAAAAATGGTGCAAAAAATACGATTTTTTTTAAATAATTTAATGCGTTTTTAGAATTTACTTTTCAATCGTAGCGCAACTTAGACTTTGACATTTAATTTGAAGTCTCGTTTATACTTGATATGATTTCTCCAATGTTGAGACAGTTGAATTCATGGCCTGACTTCGTAAGCTAAGGATCGTCTAGATTTGGACTGGCATGCGTACTAGGTTCGAACTAGCCAAGAGAAAGGCGCGTACTATGCCGACGTTCAAAATAACATCCCAGTGAAACAATGGTTTTTTAGGTTTCGCGAAGCTAGTAAGGCAACCACTTCAACGACCTGTAGATTGAGACTGGGCCACACTTGTTCCCCTGTGTTCCTCAATAACATCCGTGCCAGAGACACCTCTTTGTGTGAATGTGACCACATTGATCACATTTTCTTTGAATATCCTAAATTGACTTCATCCTTGTACGACCTCCTTCCTTCTTCCATTCCTCGTCCTATTAACCTTAAATCCCTCCTTCTTTATGTGTACTGTCCCTTTATTAACATTTTGTGTGATTTTATACGCTCTAATAATACAATGCTTTAATCCTTTGTTTGTCCATGATTGTTTTTTTTTTACCCCAGGTATGATCTCCACAACAGCATTCCGTGGAAGAGATTCATCTAAAAATAAATGCCTTGCTGCTACCGAAACGTTGACGTTACTTGACAATATTAACTGACATAATTAATCGAAACTGACACTGGCCCAAGACTAGTGGCCGCCATTAAAGAAATAGAATAGACAGTTGAGTTTGTTGTCCGTCCATGATTGCTCTTTTTCATCTCAAGTATAACCTCCACAACAGCAGTTCGTTGAAGAGGTTCTTTCAGAAATAAATACCTGGCTGCTGCCTTAATGTTGGCATTTTTTACCAATGTTATCAGTCTGCACTCTTCGACACTGTTGATCAACATTAACTGATCGCATACCTCGAAACTGACACTAGCGACAAGCCTAGTGTGTCCGCCATTAGGAAAATATTAATCATGACTTTGAAATTAAGAGTCAACCACACACAACTGGTATCAGAATTGATTCGTATATTCAGTAGAAGGGAAGTTTTTACTTAAATTTTTAAGTGTAAAATGTTTTACACATTTTTGTATCTATAGTTACCTCTCTGCCTTCGAATGTAATCCATAATCTTGTGTTCTCCTTCTCCAGGTACGTTTGCATCAGAGAGAATTACCTTAATGCCACGCCAGCCAGGGTCGTTGTTCAATCTAAAAATATATATCAGCAATTTTGTAATTAAAATATGGCACCTCCGGTAAAACAGTGACATAACTTTCATTTGTAAAATTGGCAAAAGCGAGTTAAAGTTAGTTTACACTATTTCAATGAGCTTTTTGTTTTTTCAAATAAAACGCATCTTAAAAATCGTTGGGCCTCTTTATTTATTTACAATTATGTATTCCAAAATTACACCCATCAAAATAACTGACATTCCAGTAGAGCAGATAACACATTTAAAATATCTTGGTAGTGTTATCCCAGAAGATTCCAAATGTACCACTGACATAATGACTAGAATCGCAATAGCAAAACGGGCTTTATAAAAAAAAACATAATAAGATTCATCAAAACCTATGTCTGGAGTACCGCACTGTATGGATGCAAGACATGGACAATTGAAATGTGGTATTGAAAGCGAATGGAAAAAATAAAATGGATTGAAGAGACACCAAATGAAGAAGTTTTGGAAAGGGTTGCGGAGGAGAGAAGTCTTTTAGAATGCAATAGAGAGAAGTGAAAAACTGTTTGGACAATTGTTGCGTAATGACGAATTTGTGAGAGTGATAATTGAGGGGAAAAGAAAAAGAGGAAGAGGCATATAGTGAACAAATAAAAAAGAAGATCAAAGTGAACAGCTATAAAGAGGTCAAAGAACTGGCTATGAACCGTGAGGAGTGGAGAAGGCTACACCGATAAGAATCTGGCTCTTAAATAAGAAGACGATGAAAATTATCTATTTGCGTTATCTAACTACATAAATTATATTCTAACTACATATTATATGTTTTGTATGTACTTATTACTATTCTGTATTTAAGAATATTATTGGATTGCACACGGAAGAAAGAAAAGAATTTATGTGGTCTGTGGGGTTGATAGATCACTAGGTCTACATCCTAGTGAAGTCGGGCACGAGAATTTCAACAAATTAAAAAAAACTTTAAACTAAAACTTATATAGAGCGAAAATAAAACAAACCTGTCATGAATATAATAATGCAGACACTTGCTAAGTCTGTCCATAAAAGGAGTGCCTGGAGTGATGCAGTTAGAGTCAAAGTGTGCTTCTTTAGGCCTCTCTGGAGGTAAATAAGCACCTTTGGCCTGCAGCTCAGAGCGGATGCGAGCCACTTCTTCAATCTTCTCTTGAGTCTCCTTGGAGGCACGGAAACGGCGAGACCGTTGCTGGTTCATCTTTGCACGAGGAGCCTATGAGTAAAAGAAAAACGATTGTCAATATAGCCCTTACAGATGGCAGCACATTAAGCTACTCATTGACGGATCTTGCTCCATTGCACAGGAGCCATTATTCAAATAAAAGTGTATAACTTGATGTGTTGTTGACTGTACAAGAGTAACTGTACAAGATCTGACGAAGCGGAATAGCCAGTGAATGCACAATAAAATGGCCACTTAAATAAAACAGTTTCACTGTGGCATCATCAAACACATTCAACATGTCAAACATATTTAATATATTATGTATAGGTACTAACGGGATATCAGCTCCACGCGTGCGAGTGGCTTCCATTCCTATGTAATCCAATTGCATAGGAAGGGAAGACCCGCTCAACCGCGCATTCGGCTGAGCGGGTCTCGCCGGAAAAGACTGCAGGGTCTGATGAGAACAGGTATGAGCTACGCAGAAGCTCTGCCTCTATCTGAAAAGCCCTGGAGTGATTTTCCGGTGTCCAAACCACCTCCAAAACCAAAAGCGCAGAAGCGTGAACGGTCAGAGGAGGCGTCGCCACAGGAGCATGTCAGGAAGGCTCCCAGGACCATAGCGCCAGCTGAAAGCAGGAACAGACCTACTTTCAATGGCGGGCTCCGGTACCGCGTGGGTATCCGGAATTCGGAACCCATGTCAGAGGAGCAAATTGAGCTGGTGGAGCTGTTCCTGGTCCGCACCATAGCGAGTACTACATCGCATGGCGAGGGACCGAAGTTCCTGGGCCTCTCTCACAAGCCAGGCTGGATTCTTTTGACCTGCAAGGACCAAGCAAGTGCAGACTGGCTTGTGGGAAAGATCGGCAATTTAAAGCCGTAGCCGGAAGCCCAGCTATCCTTGATTGAGGAGAGCGAGCTTCCGAAGCCCACCACCTACATTCCCAAGAAGGGATGTGAGTCGGTGCAGATAGCCATCAGCCTGCTGGGGGCCCAAAATAGAGGCCTCCGCGCAGAAGTGTGGAAGGTTCTTCACACAAGGGAAAATGCGAACGGATGGGTGGTCGCGTTCGCTCTTGATGACCCATCTTTGGAGAATCTCCATGCCTCAAATTGCCAGGCACACCTTGGTTTTAAACAGGTCACGTTTAGGAGAATCAAGGCGTGTCTGGAAAGTACGTTCAGTGGCGACACTGCGCGGGGTGTCTTGGTCTCGAAACCAGGGTCGGTTACAAGTCCGCTCGAGGAATCGGGGCCGGGAGCCTCAGCGTAGGTGTCTGCGCCTGGCCTGTCTTCCACGGATCAGGGGAAATGCGACGGGGCTGCCCCGTCGGCGACTCTGGGTGCATCGCCCCAGAAGAATCGCGGACGGGAGGCTGGGCACACTCGGACAGCACCCGCTGTCCCAGGTGTGGTGCAAACAGCGCAGCCATCAACAAGTGCCAGTACAGGGGCGGCTCGACCAAAAACTGCCACAGTAATGGCATAAATGACGGTTTGGGGAGTACACGACTGCGGTTTTCGGTACCATACCCACGTGGCAGCAGTTCGGCACGTGTGCAAGGGCTTGGGGCTGCCAACCAACGAGGTTCACGAGGACGGCCTCGTCCTCCTCGTAGCAGTCGGGGGCAGCAACGAGGCCGGGGCTTCAATCCCCGCTAGATGGCGCCCACGGGGGATAGGGTGAGGGTTCTCCAAGCAAACCTCCACCATGCCGTGGTTGCAACGGTTATGGTGGAGTGTTGCTTCGCGAAAGGCAACGTAGATGTCACCCTCATTCAGGAACCCTGGATTAACTGCACAAACATAATGGGACTCAATGCAGCTGGTAAGTTGATTTACAACACCTGTGGAAGTAGACCCAGAGCCTGCATTGTTTATAACAAAAACATTAACATTATGCCTATTCCAGAGTTCTGTACTGATGACTTTGTAGCGACATATCTCTTTCCCCGGAGTAGCACTCAGGCCAGAAAAGAACAATCCCACGGAAGATCTGACACGACTGGCGGAATACGCCCGGAAACACAAAGCAGAACTTCTGGTGGGATGTGATGCCAACGCTCACCACACCGCCTGGAGGAGCTCAGACATCAATAACAGAGGAGAGTTACTATATGATTTTATCCTATCAAATTGGCTGTATCTTAATATGTACACCAACTTTTGTTACTAGGTCAAGACAGGAAATTCTGGACATTACTTTCTCTACGGTTAGGCTAGCCGGACTTATAACCGGCTGGCATGTTCGTGACGAGACGTCGATGTCGGATCATAAACACATAAAATTTTATCTGGGAGCAGGAAATGTGGCAGACATTTACAGACCCCACTACATTTAGAAATCCAAGGGACACGGCCTGAGACGTCTATAAAAACAGATAGGGCAGCATCTACAAGGGTGTCCTAAATCGATCAAAACCACTCAGAGTCTAGAGTTAGCTGTTGAGGTCACTTCCAGAGGCATCATCAGCGCTTCTGAGGAAAGCTGCCCGCCAAAAATTCGGACCTCCTATATCATAGGAAGGTTCCGTGGTGGAATGCAAAACTGAGAAAGCTAACAGAGAAAACTCAAAGGCTCTTTAATAGGGCTAAACTAACAAAGAAATGGGAGACCTACAGGAACGTCCTAACTAACTATAACAAGGAGATAAGGAAGGCCAAGCGAGCATTGTGGAGGCGGTTCTGTGAGGAGATTGCTAGTGCTCCTCAAGGTGCACGTCTACATAGACTGCTTGCTAAAGCCAATTCCCATCAACCAGGACTGTTAAAGAAGCCTGATGGGACCTTCTCGACTTCTACGATAGAAACCCTTGCGCTTTTAATGTCAACCCACTTCCCGGGGGGCCTTGTGCGACACGCCCACTAATCCAGCAACAACACTACATTCACATCAACATAATAAGACCCCGAAAAGTGGCTTGGGCCATAAGCTCGTTAAAATCGTATAAATCCCCTGGTGAGGACAGTATTACTCCCTTCTTACTGCAGCAAGGCATAAGTGTACTCTTGCCAAACCTGGTCAAGATATACAGAGCCAGTTTTGCTTGGGGACACATACCGATGCAATGGACAACGTGTAAAGTTGTATTTATACCTTTTTATACCGAAGGTAGGCAGAAAGGACTACTCTCTTGCTAAGTTCTTTAGACCCATCTGCCTAACCTCATTTTTGCTTAAGGCAATGGAGAAGGTACTTGACAATCACATTAGGACTTCGTCCTTAATATATAGTCCTATCCATCACACTCAACATGCCTATCAGAGTGGAAAGTCCACAGAGACAGCTTTGCTCCACATTGTGGACAGGGTTGAAAGAATGTTTGAGGACAAACAAACAGCACTGTGTGCCTTTCTAGACATTGAGGGTGCATTGGACAATACCCCCATCCATACTCTGGTGAAGGGCCTAACCTGCAAAGGTGTGGACACTTCAACCACAAGATGGGTACAGAACTTGCTTTTAAGCTGCAGGGCCAGTATCTCGTTACATGGGGACTGGCTTGTGGCCTCCGCAGTAAGGGGTTGAATAGAATAGAATAGAATAGAAGAGAATAGAAACCATTTATTGTTAACGCACACACTTTAACTTTAACACTGAGTGTGTGCGTTATGTATTGTAACGCCACATTTTAAAAAAAAACACAAAAACAAAGACTAATATAACTCCGCGGTTGCCCGCAAGGTGGGGTAATTTCTCCTCTCCTATGGACTCTTGCTATGGATCAGCTCCTGTATAGGTTGGCTGAACTGAATATTGACTCTCAGGGATATGCAGATGATCTGGTGATCACAGTTCACGGGCACTGCCAAAATACTATATCATCACTTATGCAAGGAGCACTTGACACCATTTCCGCGTGGTGTCAAGATAACGAATTATCAACCAATGCGGAAAAAACAACCATTGTCCCCTTCACCGGGAGAAGGAAACTTCGACAAAGTAATGGAAGCAATTCTTGGTGGCAGGGCTGTGGGCTTTTCCGCAGAAGTCAAATATCTAGGGTAACTCTAGATCAAACCCTAAGGTGGAACCACCACAAAGCTAATACGATCAACAAGGCCAAGATGGCCTTAGGTATCTGTAGCTGCATGGCGGGACTGCGTTGGGGTCTAAAACCAAAGATGATGTGATGAGAACTAAACAGCACATTGCGTGCCTGCTAGCAACAGGAGCCATGTCCACCACACCTGGGGCAAACCTAAATGCATTGCTGAACCTGACTCCTCTGCATTTATTCATACAGAGAGAGGCCAGTGCAGGCTTACCACTAGGTTAAGGAGTAGATGGCTCTCCCAGACATTGAGATCAGCCCAAGACGAATTCTGGAACACTCTGTTCTGGGAATGACTTCTGAAGTCATGCTTCCCAAACAAAATTTTAAAAAACTCTACCAGGTAGAATTTCCAATTAGGGAGGACTGGGAAACTAACAGTCTCACTTTGTGAGCAGCTTTGTGGTATACCATAGAAGGACAGTAGCCTTCTATGGTATACCAATGGCTCTAAGATGGGACCCAACACAGGCTGTGGTATACATGGTATGAGACCCAGGCTCAGCTACAAGCTGAACATGAGACGCCTAGCTAGATGGCCTAGCCAATCGAAGCGCAGTTGTCACCGTAACGATTTGGCAGAATAGTTTTCAAATAAATTAAATGATATTTCTCTATTTCTGGTTATATACTCGATGCCATATACTTACTGTGGTAACTCGGTATTGTGAAAAAACATGATTTAAAAATTGAAGGAAGTTATTCACAGTATTTTACTGCAAATGTGACTATTTTCATTTATACATATTTAGTTATCCATTTATAAACGAGAATATGTATTTATTGGTTTCATTTAGTAATTATTTTGTACTTTTACATCGTTATTTCTTAATTCCACAATTTTTACTTGCCTACTATGACAACATAGTTTGATGTGAAATTTACCAACAATCTGGACTGTAAAAAAACACCACTTGGATGCTCCATAGATGCTTTTCCACCTATACAAATCCGAGAAGACCCACACCAATGACAATCTTAGTTACAAGACAAGTTATTTAAGAAGCATTGAACACATAAATTAAATTAATGTATAAAGACAAATATTCCAAAGCTTACTCACAACTCCATCAATAGCCATGTACAAAAGTTTCCTAGGTCTGACGATGCGGAATAGGCGGTCAATGCATTCGAAGATGGCCACCATCATCTCGTCCTCGTCCTTTGGCGGTGGTTTATCTTCAGGGTGTGTGCAAGGGTGAATTATACCATTCATGTCCAAATACAAATTGTCGAATTCTACCCCATTTGGATTAGGTAATGATGAATCTGCGTACTCTAATTGACCGTCTACATCTTTTGGCTGCAAGTAAAACACATTTGTTGTGATAAACTTAATATTTTTCGAAAGAATGAGTTAATATTTTGAGGTTATGTTTAATACCTTCTGTTCTACACATTCGACAATGACACTGGAGTATTTGCGGCTAAGCCAGCGAAAGAATGCTGGTACTCCCATCGTTAGGAGCTGTTTCTGGTATAATTTGTATACAGGTTCGTTATGATCTAAAAAATAATTTGTCACGTATTCAACCCAAACAAATCAACGGAGATGTCATAGTCACTGTTGAAGGAAAGAGTTAGAAATATAAAATAATGAAAGAGGAATGAGATAGAAGAACAATTGTTTCAAATATTTTTGAATTTTTTTCCGAACATAAATTTGTTATTTAATTCATTTATTTTGTATAAAGTTTGTATCCTTTTAGACAGGAATATTTTATTATAGATCAGCAGAATAATTCATGATAAATATACGAATTCAGGGGAACAAGATACACGTTTGTCACTGGTTTCTTAACACACCTATTGACCTAAATGAAGATATGTTTATCGAAAATAATAATATCAAGCTTTAATATGTATGCCGATTATATAATAGGTACCCACCCAACCTACCACATCCTTTTTCCTTTAAATTCCGTACCTCTGCTTTCCCATTTCATTGGCTAAATACGAATGCGAAGGCAAAGCCATTAATATTAAAAAAACCGAATGACACACAGTCAATTATTTATTTATTTAAAGCATTGGCTTCAGAGCCATCAGCTTAATGGTAACAAATAATCAAGAAACGCACAACGTAATATAAATAAACCGTACCTATATACTAAATTTATGAAATAAACTAAAAATTATTTCGTGTAAAAAAAATGCTTAGAGAATGGATAATAAGAAAAAATGCAACTATTAAAACCTTATCTCTATGATTAAAACCCGCCATTTTTTTTGTCAAATTTGACACTGTCAATTTGACGGTTGATACTGATAGCAGCTGAAAAAAAGTTACAGCAGAAATGACGACCTATTGTTTTGCAAATTTTTACAAAAAACTTGTGAAAAATGCAAAACTTCGGCGTTATTACAGTAAAACAGATAGCAATAACAACAATATCGAAAAAATTCGAAATATCGGCATATTAGCACATATAGATGCAGGTTAATTTTCTAATATTTTTCTTGCATTTTCCCCGTTTCCGACTTTTTTTATTGCCTTTCAAAACTTCCATACCAACTATACATGTAATTTGCAAGCAAATCTACACATATAGACACTCAAACTTAAGAATATTACGCAATAATCTGTGCATCTTATAGGTTATGTTTTTCTGTACATTGCTATGAAAATCGTCAGGAAAAACCACAACAACGGAGCGTATGCTCTTCTATTCTGGTACCATACGGTCCATGGGAGAGGTACACCACGGGAACACTGTCACCGATTATATGGAACAGGAAAGACAGAGAGGAATAACAATTACCTGTAAGTATACAAATATAAGCTATAGCTTACAAGAAATGTTATTAGCTACAGTTATAAGCTAGTTCAAGTTATTAATAGTTAATTGTACTAAAGTTACGTGATCCTAGAATAAATAAAAACAATTGTGGATGCGCAAACTTATTTCCTAAAAAGTTGAAGTTACAAAAATAAATTTTTAGTTTTCAATCACATGGCCATTTGTAGTTAATAATAATAAAAGAAAAACATTTGAAACCTTTTATGCAATGTGATAATTATTTATTAATGTGAACAATTCAGTCTTACGCTAAATTTATTTATTATTTAATAAGCGAGCGGCTTGAATCTAATATGCCTACAAATATGCCGAGACACAAACTAGTGCCTGTAATTGGCCATACATTTAACATAAAGCAGTGACAGACATTTTATTTTATACATAATACATAATCGTATGACATGGGGTAATGGGCTGGAGTCCGCAACTTGTCATCTAGCGGCCTATTTTTGTTAGAAATGAGATTGCATGGTGTGTGCAAGTTGCCTTTTGTAATGATGATTGATGAAATCTGAAAAATGTCAACTGTCTCCAAATTCCCTCATGTCAACTGGCTAGTTTAATATACTTAAATTACCAATTTGCTGCATTATTGTGGTTTACATTCAATGTCAACTGTTATAGCAACAATATTGCATGTGATGGATGCAGGGTCCTACTAGTGCCACCTAAGCTGCTTCATGAATTTTAGCATCATTCTAGGTCTGCTGAACACTTTGTGGAGCGACCTAGGCACTCCTACGTATTTTGCCCTGTAGTTAGACTCAATGGTGCACTGCAGTTTCGTGCACGCTTTGCGTTGAGAGCTGACCTCTTCACTTAAAGTGTCATACCTTAAGTGAAAAATTTACATACTTATTTTTATATGTCCTTTCCATCTTTTAATACACATTCTCAAGTTACATATCTTAATTCCATACAGCGGCAGCAGTCTCGTTCCCATGGCAAGGCAGTCAGATTAACCTAATAGATACACCAGGCCACATTGACTTCACTATGGAGGTAGAGCAAAGTTTAGCTGTGCTAGATGGTGCCGTCGTTGTGTTGGATGGTTCAGCTGGTAAGGAATCCCAAGTCACAAATTATAAAATCTGTATCAGATGTAATCAGATATTTAAAAAAACTTGAGCTGTTTCAAGTAATCAAGTTTCCTGAATCAGTACCTTTGTTGGTCACATTGTCACTTAACACGAGGTAAGATTGTGGCCAAGTGTACAACTGACTATATTACATATATATATTACCATTGAATTCAGATTTTGACTTAGGAATAACATACATCTAGATTGAAAATTTCCTAACCCAGGTGTAGAAGCTCAAACCTTAACAGTCTGGCGTCAAGCGACAGGCTACCGTGTTCCACGTATCCTGTACCTAAACAAAATGGACCGTCTAGATTCAAACGAGATGTCCTGTGTCAGATCTATTGAGGAGAAGCTGCAGGCCACACCGCTGCTTCTGCACTTGCCCGTGCGACATAATGATAGACTTGTCGGTAAGTACGTACAATAATTAAATACGTACAATAACAAAAATAATTAACTACCTCTTGTATAACTTTTTTGTCTGTACTGTGGAAGCCCAATGGGGGCTCTCAATTGAGAGGCCAAAGCCTCGAATATTTTAATTTCTAAGTTTGGTACATTTGTGAATATTTAGTAGCGATACCTCTCATTAATGGTGAAGATAAACGTCGAATTAGGTTCACAACCTTTGGAGAACGTGTGAAGTTTGCTAGTTTTCTTTAAGTTGAATTAAGTGTAGCTTGTATTCTCACATAGCTCATAAAGTAACGTAGAGCGCTTTGTTAGTGAATGTTGTGGTCACCTGTAATCGCATTGTGTATCTAATTCATGTTCAGGTTTAATCTATATTGGATGGACTAATCTATTTGAAAACGATATTAATTTGGTTTTATGTCAATTTCTCAAAAATGTTACAATTGTAATTTCGTCATTTTATTATTGAGCGTGTAATATGTACTATGTACACTATTCCCAATACAGGTTTGATAGACCTAATAACGCAAGAAGAAATCCTGTGGACGCAAGGACGCGGCCAGAACTACGTCTGTCGGAAGCTAGATGAACGAGATGGACTTGTGTGGGAGAACACGCTCGATAAACATCGTCAGTTAATCGATACTCTATCAAGTATGGACGATACGCTGGCAGACTACATTATTGCTCAGGTCAGAGATCGCTTTCGGTTATTTTAATAAAAAAAAAAAAATTTTACAAATAAACTAGTGCAGGTACATTACAATTTAGTTACGACAAAGAACCAGGTAACACAACTCAATTGTAGCGTATATCGCGTACAGAGAATTTGAAAACATTGTTACTGTCAAAAGAATAACGTCAAAGCAAGGAGAATATTGTTAAAATTATTTTTTTTGAAAAATTGTATAATGTATAATATTCATTCTATTTTTAATTGAATGCCAATTACATTATATATACCTTTATAAAGGATGAGCGTGTGTTTATGGTATTGTGTGTGTGTGTGTGTGTGTGTGTGCTTGTGTGTGCGTAAGTGCGAGCGTATGTGGGTGTGTGCGTGCGTGCGTGCGTGCGTGCGTGCGTGCGTGCGTGCGTGCGTGCGTGCGTGCGTGCGTGCG